ATCGAAGGAATGTTGTGAATAGTTCCCTTCCGGCCATCATCCCCCCTCATTCAACAAATAAGTGAATTGAATATATCACCAGGAGGTACATGGAGGCATTATTCGTACACGTTCCGTCACGGTATTGAGACCCCAGCAAGGGACAACTGAGAAGATGAATCCTTTCATATATTAGCAAAGCTCTTATTTCATCGCGGAATTTAATATCATCTGGTATGCCTGAGGCAGACGGCTCGTGGTTCCTTCATCTGCCACTCTGCACACCACGGAGGGTCAAACAAAAATCAGTTAGGTCCTAACATTAATTTCAAGGTATGTAATCCAATAAAGTGAGACAGAAGGAAAATGGATTCTTCACACGTTCTCGGGGTTTGGGTCTGGATCAGCCTGACCGGAAGAATTTTGATGGCATTTGGAAGGTGAGACAAGCAACAATACTGTGCGCGATTCTTTTCTTCTTTTCACGTTCCATCAAAAGAATGGGAAGGTCGCACCCACCCAGCTTATTACATATCGGGATGCGTTAGATCAGACGTTATGACTTCGTTTACATCCAACTGCTCATAATTGAGCGATGAGCTCGCGTGATCAGGATCTCATAAGTTCCCTACACCTCATTCCTTTTCATAGGAAAGATGCCGGCTGATCGACAGGTATAGTCAATCAGCACGGCTCAGCGCGCCACGTCCCGCCAGATGAGCACCACGGAGTCCTCTACGAACAGATATCTTTTCGGAAGGCGGCTCGAGAAGAATATCATAACAGAGATCTTGCGGACATGGTATATATATTTTAAATGAACTCAGCAGTGCATTGGGGACAAATTGGTAAGAAGTCCTTGCAGGTACCGAAACAGAAAACTTTGACTTCATTTTTCACTTGACTCATAACCACTGTCGAAGTCTGACCATGTCTTCTATGATTCGAAATCATAATTTGAAATCAAAGGCAACGCAAATTTACCTAGTCCCGAACAACAACAGATCAATCAAATCAAATCAACAATCAAAATCAACAGTTAACACCACCTTGATGAGGTATGAAGCATGGGAAAGTGTTGCGCTAGAGAGGAACTGAGAATGTAGAAGAGGTGTTCCTCGAAATTCGCTAAGTTTTCTCGTAACCGTCTAATGTCCTGCTCAAAGCAAATGCACCCATATGCGAGCAATCACAAATAAACACAATTATAGCGTCTGATAGTGCTTTTAAAACTTTTTTTTTACGTTTTCAAATTCACTTCGGCAGTCTAGTGTGACCCTTCGCCAGGTGGGTGTCACTAAGTCGTAAAGTACAGGAGGATCCGCGGGGGGTTCGCATTAAGTGACACACACCTGACTGAGCGTCAATGCAGTCGGAGGTCGGGTGGGCCCCCAAAAAAACTTTGCAGATCCGTAACGCCAGTTAATTTTCTTTTATACGCCCAAGTTTGCGGTTTACAGTCTGCAGCAGACCTTCCGTGACACTTTCTTCAACGAACCGTCACATGATCAGGCCATCTCAGATTTGAAGATATTCGAGAATCATGCTCAAGTTAAGAACTTAGGTTTTCCTGAGCTTCTTGAATTGAAGTCAGTTGTGACAGGCTTCACAAAGGAATCAATTTGCGACATTGTGTCACATGCTTCAAAACCTTTAACTTGGCAGCTTTCCTATCGTACTGGAATACCCGAAATGTCATGCTGATGAATTATGCACGAACAACTGCAGCTGTTTCCTTACAGGGTCTTCGTGCATCACATACTGACCAGTCAATCATAAACGAGTTCTTCTTTCAGAATCATCATAGGAGAAAGTTCCAATCGATCAAGAGTTTTTGAACAATGTATTGTGGTCACTGGAATGCCACTTCCACTTTCCCCTCTCTGGACACGTCAGTTGAAAAGATGACGTCTTTAAGGGTAAGATTTGATACAGAAAATCCTTTGCTCGGGTCCGAAGTCTACACCTCGAAACTGACAATAAAGCTGTGAGTAACATCATAACAAGATGGAAGCGAATGCACGGATGTCGCCTGAGCAAGTATCAAATGGTACTACTAAATATCACTTTTCCAGCGCTACCTCTTCTTCACCACTTCCTGAGACTCCCAGATCAAATAGAGTGAATTTGGGGTTTGCTGTTTCGTGATGGAGATGCCATTTGTCTGAAGATGAAGGGGAAAAATTCAAACTCAAAAATAAAAATATTTAGAAGGATGGAACGAAAAAAAGTACTTAATTCATCTGCCTCCAGATATATTTTGACTCTACATGTCCACAAGTCCGCTCAAGAAGTGTATGCACTTCTCGAGCTTCATGGATGGTCTTTCAATAATTCACTCCATTAACCTTGTCTCATTGTGTACCACCCTGGTACACCTTGCGACAAGGTTATTGCACAGAATTATGTGTATTCTGATGGGTTAACATATCCACTTAAAACAGGTTTTTTTTTTTACTTTTGAATCCTAAAAATACAAATATATATATATAATTTAGTAAACTCGTCAGATTGCAAGCATAATGTATCCACCAATGCTGGTCTAAGTTCTAAGCAGTGAATCGTCTGCTTTCTGACACTATTACAGGCGATTTAAGTCTAATTGTGTACCTCCATCCCCAACTGCTGAAAATTCAGAGGAAAATATCCAATATATTGGGTCAAGGGTCTTCAGAAGATAATACTGCGGAGTTCATACGGGTTTGCGATTTTATGGTCGTGGTGATGGCGGTCTGGTAGTCGACTGCCAGTCACTAAAGGTCGAAGATACAGAAGAAACCCATCGGGGCTTCGCCCTCAGGGGTAGGAGGGACTCACGGGTTAGACTGAGAGATGATGGGAGTTCCTCGTAAACATGCAGGGAATCCCCCTCGGTCACGGTTCGATTTAACGCCCATAACCGGTCTGCCAAGGCCCCATACCACCGATAATGATTCGCCAGTGTCCGGTAATACGACCGAGGGTCGTATTTGTGCATGATGACGAAACGAACGAGGGAAAACACACCGGCACCAAGCGGGGGCGGAAGACGAAAGAATGGGAAAAGAATAACTGAATTCCGTGGAGAGGGGAACCCCTGAACCGAGACCATCAGAAGTCAATCTAATACAGTAAAACTCATGAGCGAATCGCCCTCGAATCGCTACACAGAAACTACCTACCTTATCGTCATGAAAGAAGTATCAGCAGAAATGGATAAGTGACACTTATGTTAAAATGATTTGATTTTTATGACGGGTGGGAATGCAAATAAGGCGGCATCTTACTACTCTAGAGTGGATCCTCGACTCCGACTTTGAAATGTAAACAAATTAAGCTGAACCTGTCGAGTGCCTGTAACCGATTCCGACAATGAATATGAATCTGAGCTCACCAATGCGGAAGAGAAACAGGGACAGGTGGGAGGAGGGAGATGAACAACGGACTGATCCATCCAGGTACTTTATCTCTCGTAGGACTTCCCTGGCATGTTTTGCCCCTAACAGTTTTGATTTACGATATTGAATAAGAGATAAAGCGAAGCAGTGCTGCCGCTCGGATGCTGTTGCGCAAGCCCATTCCAAGAATGCCATCGCACAAACAGGTCCTATTAGCTAACGGCGGGTATCTGAACAAGGTTCCCCCCCCTCAGGTCCACCAGTATCTCTCGAAAGAAAGAAAAAAAGGACACACACGACAACGGACATTTCATAAAAGGAGAGGGCTGAGGCGCTCGCTAAGCACAGGCACCACAACAGGCATCACAGTCCTTCAGGCATGGATGCCCCTCTATATGGTTCTGTCGCAGGCCGTAGGGCAACTCACTGGTTACCTAGACCATGAATGGAACGAGTGATTTTTAAATATGTGCGAGGTGGCACCACTCGGTGGCAAAAGTGGAATCCTCTTAGCTCCTCAACAAGATACTTGTAAGCAAGCTGGGAAAAAATAGATGTCTGTGGAATGGCAAACTAATACGTTCTGTGAGCTGTTAAAATTGTCATCTCCAGTTCAAATATGGCAACTAAGTCTCATGCTAATCTGCATACAAAGATGGAGAATCCACATCAAAGGTTCCCTCTAGCAGTACCTAATGTCTCAGGTATTACTGGATATTGAACTAAAATTGATTCAATCTGTCAACTTAGAATATGGTAGAACCTCAAATTAATAGTCAGTTTCCAAAAAAATATTAACAAAAATTACTTAGCTATGACCTGAATGCAATCCTTGACAGCTTGAAAACAGGTACAGGTGAACCAATTTTACTAAGCTGATACAACACTCAAATTCTAAAAATGATTGAAATCATCATCAAAATGCAAAACCTACCTCTTTTCATTGGTCCTCTTGTTTTTCTGATGCATTGGGCAATGGAAAGTAAAATTCAGAAGCAAAATTCCTAGTAAGTCATGAGAACTAAGAACTCTAGTCATGAAAGTGTCCTTATTCCAAAAATTCCAACATGTGGAACTCTTGAAATCACAAAAAAGAAATGGTAATACCATGTATCACAACTAAGATGATACCAGAGCAGAGAAGAGAATGAATATACAGGTATATGTACTGACTAGAGAATGGGAGAATCCAACTTTCTATGGATGAATTCCTGACCAACGGCTGCTTTCTGGAAACCCATCCACCTCCAATCCAAGATATCATGCAAAAGAAACTGCCACCAAATACTGTGCTAAACCAGCCATATATTGAGCCAAGACCCGCAATTTGACCAACTGAGGTCATGAAATCATCACTGGAGTTCCCCAAATGGCAAACAAGTACTAACATTATCAGAAAAAAACTACTGTCCTACGATGCTCAAGCATGATGACATGAAATGACACAAAAGAAGGATGGAATAAAAATAAATTACCAAGTACTGCCCTCCTAGAAACTCATCACCTCGACAAGAAGCACCTCCTTTCATATTTAGAGAATCAGCTCATTTATGAGGATGGAGAAAGGTGAGAAAGATTCCCTTCATCCTAAAAACACAAACCATTGGACAATAATGATTTTCAATGCAGTGCAATTTAACTGACCTTGAGAGATTCGACGATGCTGGCCATTGGCAGCACTGGAATTGAAGATAGAGACCTGTTCTCTGACACTGAGGCCATTGATGGGATGTTCAGGTGCTGCTGTGGCAGGTGACCGACGTCGGTATTTCCCTCCTCTCAGGTGACCTCCTTTCCCTGCTAGGAACAACTTCACATCCTCCACTACCTCCTGGGCAGACATGTTCACACACTGGAAAGCAGATAAAACAAATGCAGGTAAGATGCCTTCAAAAGTCCATTGTATATGTCAATGCTGTGGTCTGATGGAGTAGATGCAAGGTCAAACCTGGAAGATGTGCATTTCAGATGGATTATGGGATGCAACATCTTCAGTGACAATGAAGATGAAGATGTTGTTGTACAGCTCCTTTGGATCCTGGCTAGTAAACGCAGTTGGTTCACGGATCAAGGGCATTGGGAAGCGTTCCACAACATCCTACAAAGCAATTTACATCATTAGACATTATCCCATGTTTCTATAAGGAATTCTACTTAGTGAAAAATACATAGGAAAGATGATATTTAAAAATTATCATAAGTATGGCATGCAGATGCACATACATTTTCCCTTATTATTACTGGTATGGATCTCATACCAAAGTTTCAAATGGAGACCAAAATTTGCTATTTGCTGTATATATTGGAGTTACATAGGGCTAACAGCATCTGAAAATTAAATGAGACCATGGCTCATCATTCCTTAGAAACTGCAATTTTAACCTAGAATATTCAATGAATTTTCAGAAATAAAGGAAAAATAAATGCGAGAAGGGGCAGCCCACTCTTCAAATATTATAAAGTGCTCTCCCTCAACCTTTCCACTTCAAAAGTTCCTTGGAGAAGCTTTTAATTGCTTTATGAACTCAAACTTTACTGAAAACCAAGACATGGAATCTAATTTGACATTCATTTCCAGGAGAGCAAGAATACAACTGGGTGTAAAATATAAATTGCTGCATTTACGAGTTCAACTTACTCTGATTTACCAAACTAAACCAAATATTTCATATATAGGATGTGATTTTTTGCAGACCTGTCCAACTGAAAACATAACAATTTGACTGAAGTGTCGAATGCTAAAAAATAAAAACTGATCAGCTCATCATGATTGAAAAATTAATCAAGCATGACTTGGGACATAAACTCCCTCCTCTCCAAATTGGATTTCAAAGGAGACAAAGTTGGAACCTATGGGAAACTTAGGAGTTCAAGTTCTTATATGGCAAGGTTAACTTTCAGCAAATTCCTATGAGCAGATTGCAAATCCACAAAAAATTCAAATCAGATCTGAGCACCAAGGGTTTGATATACAGATTTTTATGCTCAGGTATCTATCTTTCATATTATATATTTAATTTTCAAGATTTTCCAAGTGCACCCAAAAGGAGATTCAATTAAAAAAACAAAGAAATCAAAGTTGAGATTAGGAGGGAGAGGGAGAGGGAGAGGGAGGGAGAGAAAGAAATTCATCAAGAGCAACCATAATCTTTCATCCTTGTGGCCTTTTTGATAGATGAAGTGTACCTCTCAGGAGTACAATAATGTCCTTGTGACAAGAGCAAAGATAAGCTGAATAAGGCAAAAGCACTGACTTCCTGGAGCTTATCCTAAGATAGGAATTGTTTTGATACTATAAAGATCTCTGCCTTCTTCAACATGAAGCTGGGATGTTCAACTGAAGTGCCCCATGATGATGGAAGTTTTTTTTGTTTTTTACTAAATCGTAGCCAACACTGTACCTTCAACACTTTGTTTTCGCAGACATAAGTACTTGCTTCTACAATGGTGTGAACCCCATTAACTATAATAGTTTTGCATGATAAAGAATTTAATGATAAATTATTTGCATAAACTGCTTCAAACATGCTCACATACACTTGGATTACATGGCTAGTAACAACCATTACTCATTTTTAAGACTCAGAAAAAAACCAAAATTGTTATATTTTCATTCATCTGTTGATTTTTTTTCATTTTTCTATTGTACAGCACTTTTAGTCAAGTCTTCATTATTCATGGTTTGAGTGAGCACTGGGCCATGGTAGAGGATGTGTATGCATATAATGTATATATTTTTTCAATCTTACCACCTGTACATCCTGCTTGATTGTGTGGTCTTCTTTCTGTTTTTAATCTCAGATCATCCTATTTACACAATCAAAATACTTAGTCCTATCCATTCCTGAATCTGGCTCTCCTGAGACACTCTTGCACTGAAGAAAGGAATATTAATTAGGGCAGTCAGGGTGGCTGTTATTAAAACATTGATGCTGCAACAAGAAATGTTTATAAAACATCAATTCATTGCGGAAATTATTTAACATTCCTTAATATCTTGGAGAAGGGGTGGAGGATTACCTAGTCAGCAGGATAGCTGGAACCATCATCATGGTGTACAAAATCCTAGATCCCTCGAATTATTAATAGTGATTATGAATTTTGAGTGCCACTCTAGCTTTAATGATAGTGACAAGACCATGACCAGGAACAAGGCTTGCAGAACAAAATAACTCCAAGAGCAGAGAATAGGTGTATTGCCTGTTATATAAAGAGTTCCAACATCAATATGGAATCATGAAAGTGTTTCAAAGATATGCAGCAAAGGAAAAAGCAAAAAACTGAAATAAATGAAAAGCTTGAAAGTGGAAGAAAAAATAAAAAGCAATAGACCTCAAAGGAAAATAAGCATGTTCCTAGAGAAATTCTGAATCTCTTAAGCATCTACTTTCCACGAATATACAGAACAATAGACCCAAGTTTTCATATCTGGGACATCAGAATCATAAACCATGAATAAATATGACATTTGTCATTTATTTGTCAATTGTTGATTTAGCCTCACTTCAAGTCACCCTCCCATTTGAAGAATAGCATCCAATAACCTGAATTTCAGAAAGTTAATTCAAATTGGTTGATCCTTTCAGATTGTATGCTTACATCTCTTTCCATGGAAATTCCTTCCTCCCTACTGCAGTGAATTCATAAATGATCTTTCAAAATAAAAACTTTCCCCTTATATGATCAGATTGACCAAAAAAGTCAGGAAGCTTATTTCGTTTCTCAGGAGAACCAATACAATAGGAAGTTGTATGAAATATAGGCAGGAGTCCAATATCAAATCCAATAGCCATATGCATTAATTATTTATGCTGAAATTTAATCAAATAAAGAATATTCCCAAAAAATATGGAACCCCTAGGGATGTATAGATGCCAACACCAGGTATGAGACACTGGCCAATAATGTAAAGGTCAGGATTGATACCCGCATGATTGACATATCAATAATGCTTTCTTCTTTGGTTTTACCACGGCTGGCCACAGGTCTTTCTCCATCTCTCTCAAAGTCAATTCCCAGAGAAAGGGAAGGTACAAGGATCTCAGTTTCTCTCTGTTTAGTAATCCAGAAGAGACTAGAATCAAAACAAGGGGTTGAATTATATTTAACCATGAAGACCATTCCAGGGTTTTCCAAAATTTGAGTCCATATCAGTAACTGGCCTGAACTTCATGGACCATCCCCTTGCTTATGCATGTTTTTCATTTTCCAAGAAACGTATACAGGTAAATGCCAATTCTGAAGAATTACATTGACATCAGTATGAGTAAAACCTGGATCATTGAATTAAAGTTAAGTCAACTGGTGCATAACACACCATATCACGAGTTCATGGCACTAAATATAATTTTGCAGCCAGCAAACTGGATGGTCACTAACCCCATTCTCATTGTCCAATATGACAACCCATTTCTTCTCAATGCGCATACGCATCTTTTGGGTCCAAATCCCAGAGGTTTTCTCCATCTGGAGAAGCCGTCGCATCCCATCAGCTGGGTATACGACACCAGTTTCAGCTGAGACTGCAAAAGTGGCCAGATGCTCCAATAGATATATGGGGCCTTCATCCTGGCTGCTAACACTCCCATTATCTGCAAGGGAAATACCATTGTCATTAGATCCATTTTAAAGTGGCTATAGCAAGCAATCTCCTAGTTCAATCAAGTTTAAAATACCTTGGAACAAAATGGGATCAACAACAAACCTGAGGAGCTGTAGCCATTGGAATGCCTTTCCTCTCGTCTATACATGATTCCTCTCCTTTGACAACTTTCTGAATCAAGGCTGGAAGGACAGCAGAAAGAATATTTCAGCAGACACATTTATTACAATTAGACCTAGGTTCTGGCCAGGTGTAGGGCATGAACCTGACATTGCATCTTCTCTACTTCCCAATTTCCTTGCATGGACTGATTACTCTCCCCTGAGGAGTTTTCTACTTAGTATTATAATGGCTATGTTCTACTTCCTGTTATAAATAGGACACTTTTGAATAGCCAATTGAAAAAATCATTTACAATTACTAGACCATGTGCACCAATAGACCTGATCCCAGTCAGCAATGTTGAACTGGGGATTATGATGATACAACACCTACCTGCTGGATAAATTCCCAAATATCATCTTACAATAGACTCACATACAAAAAAATCCAATTACAGCATGAACGCGCGTACAGCTATTGATTTCAGCCTTTGACTAGCCTAGGTCAAGGCTAGACGCCAAAAAACTCAGCTTACCGCAAATACCTTAAAGAAATATCTAACCCGATCAGAAATCCTTTTAAAGCACATAAGCCTGCGACAACTCCCAGCGTAATCCATCTGGGACGCTTATCTCCAGCATTAATTATTACTTTTCTGCCAGAGATCCTTACTCTACCAGTACCTGAAGACGTGCCGAAAGGCGAAAAATGAGACATACTTTCAACGAATCGACGTCGTCATGGGTCGAGGGATGAGGATGGGAATTTGCGCAAGACGGTGGCCATATTGGAATTAAGGCAGCTTTTACTCTTGAGTACGCATGCGCCAATGGAATTCCTGCCCTTCGGATGTCTTCAGGCAGTCGGCCCGACCCCTACCCACACTCCCGAGCTGCTCCCACATGATCATCATGATCGTCATCATTGCCCTTTCCCCCTTTATTTTTTCTCTTCCGCCTCACTCTTAAGTTCTTCGAGACTCCCGAATGTTGACACGGATCCAAATGGCCCTGGGCGTCAAACAATAAGCCCATATTACGAGAAAATGGGATCGTACCTGGAAGTATCTGAAGCATCCCCCTCGGATTCGTAGCCCTCGGCGTTTCCTCCCCTCATCATGCCTCCTGGGTTCACAGAAGATTCCCCTGAACGAGAAACCGCAAACATTTCAATCAAGCGTGGCATACATTTCGTTTCCGGAATTTTTTTTGTCCATAGGTCTACCGTAAATTACCAGGACCCCTTCCGTCGCATGCTGCTGTGCCTCGTTTGTCATTAGCTATCTATTCCTTACAATAGGCCTTAATTACCAACCAACTTTCTCTTTCAGACACTGTCCTCGTTAGCACCTCAGTTCAACCAAGAAACAGACAGAACGAACTGTGTTTTTATCGAGGCTCGTGGTTTCCGAAGAAAGCAAATATCTACATGGAAACAACGGAAATCGGAATTTCGTGGGTTTTTTCGTCAAGTTGGTAATCATTGACCTTGCGATGGAACTGCATCATACGTGGATGCATTCGCATTAAGGGAATACTTCCATGACACAGCTGCTTTTCCATCGAAATGTTTCGAAAACGACCCTCGGAAAGGAAGGATCTTATAAGAAGTCATGCTTCCTAGAGGGTATTTAGACAGTTTACCTAATTGATAGAATGACGTCGGACTTTATGCGAGTTGCTTACTTACAAGCGCTCTAGAAGCATAAGAAAACGTACTCTTTTCTGCCCGAAAAACGGGACGCGTTCAGGGGGATTCACGAAGGGCATGCTTAGAATACGAGCGTTGAAGTCTCCGGGCGCATTGCTGCTACCTTACGAACTCCTCCGAAATTCCCAGGAAATCTGATTTCAGATGCTGATAGGAACGTTCGTTCACGCCCCGGTGAAAATTATAGAACCATAAAAGCACGCACAGAATGGAGCTCAACGCACGGCGGCCCTTAATCGTGGCCTTGGGGCGTAAAATAGGATTGCTTTCAAGTTCGGACGACGAAGCGATCGATATGGCATCGACGAAGGCAGATGGGCGGAAAAGAATCCGATATCGCAAAACGATCCAGACCTTCAAACTGGGCGGGTTGCGGAACTATCGATGAGCTCACCCGGTTTCCAGGGCGGAGACCAAAAGACGAGTCGCGTCCTTGGGATATCCACACGGCGAAGAAATGTGGAGGTCTTTCAGAAAAAAACACAGTTCAGCGTAGAAGTATCCACAAGGCTCTTTCTCTTCCTTCCTTTTCCCCTCGCGCAAACGAGGAAAAGAAAGTCCGTCTTTGACGCCTGCTTAGTCCTCTGCCGTGAAACGCGCGGTTCCGCCTCGGGCTATTTTTTTTTTTTTACCCCTTCCCTCCTTTCCTATACTTATCTATAAGGGGGGGAAAAAAAGGCGAAGAACTAAATCTCGATAATTTCTTGAGATATCGTAAGAATCGTTCGGTTCGTCGCCTCGGCGACACGGTTTCCACCATGAGGAAACGCGAACTAAAAAAAAATAACAATAGGTACATCGTAAGTGCTTCGATCGAAACTGTCAGAGAAGATTCATCCGTAGCCCCAGGCAATTATGTGTGTTTTACTGACAGTCATGCAGAATCACTCGTAGAAAACGCTTGTTGATTCCTCCTACATCAGAGCCGGCTCTGCCATTTAGATGGCATGCAACTCGAGGGTTTGCATGGCTTTTCCCTTTAACAAAAAATGTATGAAATGCCATCTGTGTTAATGCAACCAGCAAAACAAATGCGGAATGAAACGATCCCGACGATATCAAAACAATGGGGGGGGGGGGGGGGGGGGGGGGGAAGTCATGCTGTTTCCATTACGATTGACTCACCGAAGAAAAAAATACCGGTTAATGACTGGCGCCGTGAGGGGATGCAAAGGGAGAGATGGGGTTTCCAATCCCCCTTTTACTTGTCGATAATCGCTCGGAAATGCGATATCGTCGTATCAAGATACGTCGACAACGTATCGTGAATTTCAATTTCGCGAATAAAAAATCCTGGTAAAAAAAAAGGTGTAGATGCTTTTAAAGATGAAAGTCGAAGATGTTTCGCCGTTCGTGCCCGAAGGGACTCGCCGCGGATGGACCGCATTCGATATTCAAATATGCACGAGATGACCCCAATTCCGACGAGATAAAAGGATTCTCGGTACTCGACCTATATGTCGCGAAGCCAAGGCAGAGACGCGATGAATGAAGTCGGCACATCGGGCCGGATTTCGCGCCACGAAAGCGATCCAACCCTGCAAACCGGTACACCGTCATACCGATATACCGGCATGCCGGCATGCCGGCCCCGGTATCGGCCCCTGACCCTGGCGTTTTCGAAAGGACCGAGAAAGAGCGATATCGATCCCAGCTATCTCTAAATCGATCGATTCACGTCCGGTTCACGAATGTCGACATGTAGCCTGCCCGACGAGTCGTCGAGCGAGTCGCCTCCACGTGTTTCGGTCTCGATGAACGATTCCGGTCGGAGCGGAATCCCGGATGGATCCCCCCCGACGCGAGACACGATGAGAAATCTGACGGGATTCGTTGCGTTTGCGTTTTCGGGATGAAAAGTTGAAAGTTGGATTTTCATTCTTGGGAAAGAATACGCTTCCAGGTCGAATGGGTCCTTCATGGGTCCTTCCCAAGGCCCTTCCTGGGTTCTTCCAGTGACATCAGGTTCGGCCATGATCCCCGGTTTAACGAGATAACAATTGACGAAAGGCTGGATGATCGAGGTGAAATCGAGAAAAATTCCATCGGGGAAAAAAGATCCTGCTTCCTTTCTTTCGCTTGAAATGCAGCATCTTGAAATGCAACATCCTGAAATGCAACATCTTGAAATGCAACATCCTGAATGCAGCACGAAGGAAAGACTCGGAATGCGACATTCCGGGAAACCCGAGAATGATTCGCCTCTTTCCGCGGTTCGTCAATTTAGAATCGCGTTAAAATGCCAGGAATGAGCGCGAATCACCCGCCGATCGCGGATCCATTACGTAAGGCATTAACTAAGCAAGGCATTAAGTGAGACCCCGTCGGGCGTGGCACCTCCCGACCTGTTTGAAGGTTCGGCGCACGACTCAGATGTGAAGACGTTCACATCCGAGCTATCTTCACATCTGAGCTTATCCGAAACGGTGACTCGTCTCGAGTTTCTCTCGAATTTCCATTCAGTCCTTTAAAAATGTGCATTTTCATCTTATCAAGATGGGAAATCCGCCTTTTCGACGAGCATCGCATGTGCATATATAAATTTATTTATTTATTTATTTATTTTATATATATATTCGAATGGCGTATCGTAAACGTGACCATTTCTTTTTTTTTTTTAATATTCACTTTCTTTTTTTTTTTTTGCAACTCTCGTCCACAAATCCATCTGCATTTCGGTCCCCTCGACACCAAGTCTCCATTTCAGCTCGCGAGTCGCAATTCGGGTCGCAATTCGGGTCGCCCCGAAAACGTCTCACGGCCTTTATTTATTCTCGTCTTAGCATATAGATGGGGTCTGGCCGGTTTGCCGCGGTTTCGTGCATCTCGTTATCATACGGCACGGCGTGGACTCGTTCGGTTCGAACGATGAAAATGCATGGACGGTCGGGGATAGACTCCTGAACCGGGAGTCCAAAATTTTCGATTGAAGCGATTGAAGTTTCGATTGATGGGGGCATTTTTCATGCTGATTATTACGAATTTATTAACTCGGTAAGCTGTTACCATCTGCAAATGGGAAAATAATTTCCCCATATTTTGAAGTCTCATATAGACGTCGAGAAAAGGAGAGATTTAATTTTTTTTTCGGAGTTGTGAGGAATCCCCGATTCGAGCGAGACCCCGAGGCTCTTTCAATCACGGTGTGGCTTACGTGTGTGGTCAATTTTTTTTTTCCCGTCCCGTAATGGATTTAATGGGTCGAAATTCGTCGCGAAGCGCCGTGCCCCGACCGCTCATATATAACTTACCGTTTTCTCTAATTGTATCTTTCACGAAGCACGAAGTGGGGAATTTCCGAGAACCTGCACGCAGGTTCCAAATTGCAATTTCGCCGAAATTCCCATTCGTTCGAATCGCCAAGCGCATTTTCTGGGAATAATGCACGTAATGTCGCTAATTTCGAATTCGGACTCGGAGCGTCTTCGAAACGACGGGACCGCGTCGAAGGATCGGGAATGCGTAGTTGTCACCTGGATGAGGAAGCGAAAAATGGATTCCGTTTCAGCAGACCTATCAATGTGACCTGTAGAGACCCTTTATCGAGAACCTCTGCAGGTCACATTGGAAGGTGATGGCGAAACGCGTCGTCACGATCGCACATACACGTGGAACATACATTAGGGAAGATTCCACTGTTTTCTCTCCGCTGAAGAATTGCCTTTCATAATGCCAGTATCTGGCCTCTATGATGCAGGTATCTGACCTTTACGATGCGTGCTGGAGGGGGGGGGAGGAGGGGGGGGGGGGGGGGGGGAGGGAAAGGGCTTAACGGCGGGGGTGGGGGGAGGGGAGGAGGGGGGAAGGGGGGGGGAAATGGCTTAACGGCTGGAGTGTCTACATGTCGGGGCGGTCCGACGCCTTTCTTGCGACTATGGGGGTCATCCGAATGTTCTTGAAATGTTTTAAAGAGTGGTACTCAACGCATTCACCGTTGAACTCGATGCATCTTTGATGGCGTAAGCGTCCTCAAACTGTCGTCCACTTTCCTTCGCCTTGGGAAAGAGGAAGAAGCCGGGTGGCGACAGATCCGGCGAGGAGGCCGGGTGGGCGAGCGCATTCCAGTCTCGATTCTGCCGTGTGCCTCCTCGGGAGGCCCTCCTGGACTTTGCGCTTCCGATTAGGAGCTGCGTTGCCATAGATTAACGGCTGTTTCCTGCAGGAGGGGGCGTTTATTGGGTACGAGGATGAGACGGCAGAGGACGTGCAGGTAGTAGTCTCCTTCGACGGTTCGGAATCGGGGTACTGCGGATGACATGATGCGTGTCGAAGAACGTGAAGTGCATCGCCTTCGAGGTCACGGCAGAACCGAGACTGGAATGCGCTCGCCCACCCGGCTTCCTCGCCGGATCTGTCGCCACGCGGCTTATTCCTCTTTCCCGAGGACGACGGTTGGAGGACGCTTACGACATCGACGATGCATCGAGATCGACGGTGAATGCGTTGGATGAAAACGATTCCTGAAAATTTCACGAGACGATGTTGAGAAATAATGACTCATGAACCAACACTTAAGACTTTCGGATGACCCACGTATGAGGAGCTTGTATATCTTGGGGTAAGGCTTCTTGCAGCATGAACCCAACATATGATGCAAGACTTTTTAAGTACGATCGGTCATGTCGAACACGTACCACATACTAACCGAAAAAGAAGCGAAAAACGAAATCCTCCAGGTGTATGTTACATCTTGGAGATATTTGACGATACTTCGGCACTCGACTTCTCCCAAGGACTCGCAATACGTGTGGGAAGAGACCGAGCCTCGGTATCGCTTTTACAGCGAAGGGCGAGTCCCAACTCCTGCACTCGTCTCCAAAGTACTTGGGTGAAGTGGACACCCTTTCACAACGGTCGTACGGGAGCAGTACCCCAGTGCCGTAACGAATCACCATCGAATCGACGGAGACCTTTGGCGGCTTCAGCTCGATTCCCAATGCTCGACACTTCCTCCTTCGGGAAATTGAATAATCTCATGGACAAGATGCTGCTCTTACCAGGTGGAATGCGATAGAGAAGAGGTATCTCCTACTGAAGAAGCTATGTAGGATTTACAGATAAGAAATGCGCGAGTGCATTATTAAACGTCCCGTCCGTGCGAATAGAATCGGTATGGAACCGTTTCCTCAGCCTCTCCTCGAAGAAAATAATTGAGCCCCCATTGAGCCCTCATTGTGCCCTCATTGAGCCCTCATTGAGCCCCCAGCACCATTCACCACAACGTCCTTCCCCTCGAAGAGAGGAAGTCGAGAAGCCACGTCCGGGCGCTCATTGCTGTCATTCGCGAACCGCTTCTCCATCAATGAGCTGTTGCAATCGTGTCAGAGGCCTTTTCGCCGTCTATGTCACGCTTTTCGTTTCCTTGCTTTTAGCTGTGCTTTCCAGATTTTCCGAGAAACTGGGGGGGGGGATATAAGTAAAGAGAGATAGGAGAGGCAGCGGGCTTCCTTTCGATAAGAAAAGCGGGTTCTATGTGGAGAGGATGTTCCGTGATTCACTATACCATATAAATAACGTATACTTTTCATACCGCTCAAAGCAGGCCGATGCAATATGAATCGATCAGTCATCGACTTGCATTGATGAATGTTTAAATTTTTTTCTAACAATAGAGCCACGATCGTGGCAAAACGTCATTTATCCTGAATTAATGGACAATTTTCCAGTTTTTCACCATAATTTGTGCATTTACGAGGATATTGCTGATTCTTCATGTTTTCCTTTTCCGATCTGGGGAAATGTAGGACTTTTAAGGAAAAGTAAGCGTTCGCTCTCGTGGAAATGGCTTGGCAATTAACGTTGGAGCAAGGAGCAAAATGCCGTTGGGATGGAACTTGGAGGACAGCATGAGCCATTTTTTGTATCTGTGCCAATTGTTCAGCTAATATGAATTTGCGAGATGATGAAGAGAATGTGGGTATTCCCAGTTAGATAACCGGCTTGCACATATCTGGCTTTGCATCCGCTTCTTTTGCACGCACAGGCCCAACTGATGAGCTCACCGCTTTCTCTCCGAAAGCGCTTCGAAGATCATGTGCTAATTCCCGTTCGATGTTTCTTCGTGCAACGGGGTCTGCATGATGTGCACGCGAAATTTCCCGGTGTTGCCTCTGTCCCACTTGCGAAAATGATTGCAAAGCGTGCCTCTCTCACTGATTCGACAGATAATTATGATTACCAGTTACGGGGCTACCCTAGGCCGATTTCCTCATGATATCTCCTCGGGTGTCGCCTGATCGGACTTGTGCAATTGTTCCGAACTAATGCGAATAGTGTATAATCGCAGCCGATGAAATTGTAAATTTGAAAAACTGCGACTTCGAACACCTCGTATTACACCCCATAAGGTACTTCGATTTCCTGGATGTTATCTTTCAGAACCATTTGATTCTTTTTCGAGTGATGCAAAACGAGAGAAATAGGTCTCTTGTCAGTTGATTGCAGATGAAAAACGCGGAGGCCGGAGCAGAGGAATGTCGTCCCCCCCCCCCCGACCATAGATAAAGCACTGAGGCTCTCTGCAGCCCACCCAGTGCTCTTCAGAATAAATTTATTACATGCCAGTGGGGAAGCAGGCCGCACCGTTCGCATTGCGCAGGAGCGGATGCCTGCCCAGCAAGAGCTCGTACGTCTGTGCGTAACAGGCATCTTTGCCTATGGTAGAGAGCGACTCGGGCTTCCAAGATAGCATTGTCGGTTAATACCTACGCTTTTATATGATCTCGATTCAGTACATAGTGCCAATATGGAGCAGTCTGTCAATCAGCCTTTTTACTTGCCCCGGCACTTCAACATCGAACAAGATTTACCGAAACACACCTTTTGTGCTACACGCACAAATCATCAGAAAAACTAATAATCATTCGCTGTGAAAATCATGTCCCGGCTTCCCAAGATTTCCACCCAAGGCGACACGACCCCTCTCAAATGACGCCGCCATAGGCATGGCACATGTTATTTTAAACCCCATCTGTTTTCAGTTTTTATCTTTTCATTATCTTCGAAGAATAGGACAGAGAAGATGGGGGCATGGAAGTCGCCATCGTTCAAAAGTGAAGAATGCCTGACAGCAAGCAATGAATCATGATGCAACAGGGTGAAGAGGTCTTCCACTCCCCCCCCCCCCCTCCGCAAGGAGGTAGAATCCATGACTACGAGGAAAAACCTTGATCACTTTATCAACAAAGTCTTCTTTATTGCAATCGTATGCAAACAGACAAAATAAAACAAAAACGAAAATAAGGCTTTTGTTCCTCCAAGAAAACAGGAAACTCCATAACTGCTAAGAATCGTCGTTTGAATGGAAAAACCTTGTTTTGAAAAAATTTTGATACATAGCACAGAAAAAGGCAAAAAAAATTAATATGGTGAAATTTCATGTTTCCCAGAGGAACAAGCTGTCTGGGAAAATTTCTTCAGATCTTCCTTTGGCACAAGACAAATATCTTCATTGATAACAATATACAAATAAAAAAATTCACATTCAGAAAAAAGCTATAGTTTGTACTCCCATGCAGAGAAACTGGACAAGGAAAGTGTCAAAATAAAGAGAGACGAATTCCAGCTACCCAAGAGTCTTCAGCCATGAAGAATCGAGATCTTGTCCACATGGACAGAATTGGCAACTAATGTGAAATCAACTCTTAAAGCTAAATGCTACAAGGCAGAATGAAGAGTAGAAAATAATTATAAAAATTCTCATAAGAGTTGCTCTCACATAGAGCTAGTAATACAAATATGAAGAAACAAAAGAAGAGAATCAATGAGTTTTTCCTGCATAGCAGACATATCCCAATATTTGGGTTCCTCAAAACTAACCTTTACAAGCACCAACATGTCACCATGTGATCCATGCTACTGCAAGTTATCCTCATCCTATGCTCCCTACCATAAGGCCAATGCAATCTTTAAAAAAATTGACGAAATTCAGGACTAAAATCTTCAGCAAAAATTTATTGCTACCTGAATCACAAAATTTAGAAAAATTTGACAAGACTTTTGACCAGTTAGTCATGCTTATGACCAAACTAAATCCATTGAAAGTCTCAATAGATCTAAAATTGCCAACACAACAACTTCACTGTTGCAAAAAATGCAACTGAAGAGTAAGCTCTCAGCCAACCACCAAAACCAATCAATTTTACATTCTACCAGGAACAGGATCAGCATAAAGTCTATGAACCATTCTAAGAGACAGTTCCAAGGAAGACTGGATGAGAGAGGAGCTGCTTGGCTGAAGGACGGGAGGCAGCATTGACTTCAAGGCATTGAAGGGCCAAATTCTGTGTCTCAAGAGACAAATGATCAGGGATTGGAGGTGGAATGGTGCTGCATGCAATTTTGAACATGAGAGCAAGGTGGTTGGAGACTTTATTGGCATCCCAGGGAGGATTCTGGGTGGCCATCTCTATGAGGCAGCATCCAATGCTCCAAACATCGCACGATCGACCGTAATCTTCTCCTCGGAGAACCTCAGGTGCCATAAAAGCCACTGTTCCAAGTACCTGACCCTGGAATTCTCCTGGTATTGTTGCCCTGCTTGCCAGGCGGGCTGCTGCTCCAAAATCTCCTATTCGTAGGCGCCTTCCTGTACTGTCCACGAGCAAATTTGCACCTGCAATCAATAGAAGTGACAAACTGAGATGCATGTCAGCACTCAAATGAACAGTTGAATCAAGGAATGCAGAATTGAATTTATCACCCCAACATCCAGAAGACCAAGATATTTCAGAATTTTAGAATTCAGGCAACAGTGAAGTGTTTTATGGGGTAGAAAGCTTGAAGCTTTTAAAAAAACTTCAAACTTTCAACCCCATAAAAAATACACAGTTAAGGCATGAGTGCAAGTGGACCCACAGGATTAAGATGTTTCGTGCTTAATAATCCTATAGAGATAATCTCAGAGACACAAAATTGTAGTATCCAAAATGTACCAAGTAACTTCACAAAACTAGTATATTTCAATAGTTGTTCCTCAAAACTGTAACAGGTGTTGAGTTTTAAAGTCAAAGCAGTATAGGTTACCTTTGAGGTCTCGGTGAAGGATGTGATTCTCGTGAAGAAAAACAACTCCAGCAATCACTTGCTGCATGTAGCGGATTATCACTTGCTCAGAGAAGGCACCATACCTGTCCAGCATGGTAGCTACAGATCCTCCAGCCATCCACTCAGAGAACACATTAAAATGGCATCCTTCTTTGGTTACACCTAAGAGAGATCAAAGGATAAAATTAGAATTTGGCAGAGGATGGTTACAGTAAAACCTGCTCTTCAAATCAATTTTTCTAGGAGACCTTTTACAGATCTAAGGTGATCTGGCATTTTAGACTGTAATGGCAATCAACCAGATAGCTAGTTAAAGTTGCATTGGGACATGCAGGGCTTCCATCCATAGAGCATGATCTGTAAGAGAGGCTGAATGTTAAGATCTTGAGATGAATGAGCTTCTTGCCCATTTTCACACCTCATGAGCAATTTGGGTGACAACTAGCTACACCTGTTAAGTGCACTCTCCACCACTTCGATCCAAAGCAAATGTTGCTGAATGTAAAGACGAGGTAAAAAAAAAAAAAAAAAACCTCTACTTCATGCACAGGGATTCCTAATCAATCCTACACTACCTCTCCTATTAAATTTATTCTAAAAGGATCATTCTACAATGCAACTTACCAAGGAATCGAACAATGTTGGGATGACTCAAGCTAACCATAAGCTCAATCTCTTCCAAGATTCCTGACTCCACTTTCTCTTGCTCTTCGTCTGAATTTCGACAGAATGAAACCTGTGGGTGCATGAATAATTGCATATAATAAAAAATGGCAGTTGATTGGAGTAAAACAGCTTTTTTAAAAGCTGTTTTGCTTCAGGGCATGGCCTAGATGAGTGATGGCTATAATATACTGAACATAGAAGCAGGGCAAACTTGCCATTTAACTTTTATAGGTATACAGTAAAACCTTGCAACACACTCAGGATGCATTCCTGAAAACTGAGTGTATTGCAAATTAGCTGGATGCGAGAGTCCCCATGGGGACTCCCTCATCCAGCCAACACAACAACCCCTGTAACACGCTGATTTGCGATACACTTGGTTTTCCTGAATGCATCCAGAGTGTATTGTGAAGTATTACTGTACTTATAGGGTTTGCTTGCATTTACATCTATTGATCCCCAATCCACCTAAGCTTCTTCCACATTGTTCCCTGCAAAAGCACACTATTTAGACTCAACTGCAAAATCACTACTTGAACCCAAAAAATAAAGAATTCTCTTAGTGTTTGGAAATACCTATGGGTGATCTCTGCCAGTTCAAGCAGTGGGTTAGTGGGTAAAGGTATGGGGATGGATTAAATACTGTGAAGCTGCAGGGGAATATGTGGAAGGAGCATGGGGATTAGCTAGCTATCAATATACAGTGTGTCCCAGAATCTCAATAATTTTTTTTCCTTGCAAAAATGTTTTCCTCGATTGGTTGAATACAATAACAATGTTTTTACTTTCAATGGGTAATCTGAATGCATATTGTTGTTTTTGTGGCAAGGTTATCCTTTACCTGATAGCTTTCACTAGAAAATGAAGAAAAACAAAAATGTCTGGAATTCTGGGAAATCCTGTATATGGGTTCCTATATCCTGTGGTAATAATTCCCAGACCTTTAACCCTTAATTGGGTATGATGCCTTTGTACATCAACACTTCTCTTTCACTTGGTGGATATCATGCCTTCATTTAAAGGTATTTTTCCATTGAAGAAATAATCATTGTAATTTTCCTGCCCATGGAACATGAGTGGAGAGGAAACTTAAAATTCCCCAGGCATGGGTTAAAGAAATCCTTATACATATTTCATATTGATATGTTAGGGATTCCAAACTGTAAATGCATGAGGCATTCTACTCCCTCATATACGGACCATTGGAATAGCATGCAAAATGTTCTGTTCTTGAATCATAAAATTACAACTGGAATAAAATAGCATTCTGAAACACTTTAGTTTAGTATGCTATAAATTTCCATATTGTTAAAATTATACAAAATATGTTGGTCCACTTCCTTCACTTCAAGAATAAACTACAAAAAAATGCTAAAGGAAACTAAAAAAAAAGGATCCAAGATAAAAATTAAAATATGAAAAACTTATTTACCAAAGTAGTCAACATTAAAATAGGACAGAATGGGAAGTGCACTTTAGAATATATAAAATGGAAGGAAGTATAAAAGCAAAGGCCCATTGAAGTTTCAGCATTGAAACTAAACAGAGCATTGAGTTGCTTATGCTTTGATCAATGAAAAACAAGATAAATGGGGTTCCAGAGCATGAAGAAAAATTGTTGATGGCTGAAACTAAATTTGATATGTTTATGCCCAAATGTAACCAACTGCAAGCCAAATGGTAAAGAGATCACCCTGCAGTTTCGTTTAATGGCTCCATAAAAATTTTTTTCAGGAGATATGAAGGACTCAAACCTGCTTGACAGCCATGAGTGAGCCAGTCTTGAGATCCCAGGCCTGATAGCATGTGCTAAATGCACCAGTCCCAAGCAAGGGTCCTCTTGTCCAATTACAACCTTCCTTGTACTCCCCAAACTCTTTTTCTGCATCACTTCCACCCTCCAAATCCTGTCAACCATGTGTATGAACAAATTGCAACAGACACAATACACTTCTTACAATTGAAAACTTACAATGCCATGAAGGTGTACTAGGCTGGCCTCAAAGAGAGCAGGGATCAAAGGAAGGTCTTCAGAATCTGCTTCAGACTTTCCTAGCTGATACTCTTCATCTAAGCACCTTAATGGAGCTTCGTGCACTGGAGTTGTGTGAGGTACCATGGGTGCACCATCAGGACTGGACCGCCCCACCTCCTCAGTGAATTGTAATGCAATGTCTTTCCCCTCTGGTGGAGGGGAGAACACATCCAACACTTCTGAGGCTGGGCTTAGGATCTCCATGTTGGGTTTGCTGGGTGTGAACGTCTGGTTCCATTTGGTCTGCTGCCGTTTGTGATGAAGACCAATTGAATCAAGAGGAAGGTGATTGGGGCGAGGAGGTGAAGATTTCTCTCTTTGAGGGGATGGAGAAGTGACTTTTCGGACAGTGGAAGATGACCTGATTTTCCTCTGGACACCCCCTACACCTGATGTTGGGGTCACTGGTTCCTGACTGTAGTATCTTGGTCCCTGGTGCTCTGACATTGCACTCATACGCTTCTGCAGCAAGGTTTGAAGGCCAGGCTCCAACATGGACAGCATGCCAACAATCTATGCAAGTATTCAGAGAAACAATGATAAATGGAGAACATTTCATTTATAGGAGAAAAGACAAGGTCAAAAAGCATCCATTCACCCTTTTAGAATCAAATTATGAAATTATCAATACACTAACAAAGTGCACAAACGACCTTTGATAGGTGTCTAGAATTTTGTAATTGGTTTTGTCATCTGCCAAACAATCATATCAGCTCCCTACACAATTTATTTGTTCCCATCAAAAAGCTTCAATTTACTTTAAAAGTAAAGGAAGTGGAGTTTAGCCAAGAACATACATTCAAGATAAGAGAATAAGAAATGTCTTCAGATACACACTTGAAATGCACATTCCAACCATCTTATGCCAGGGAGTATATAATTCAGCTCACCTGTTTATAAACAGCAGGCTCAGGCATGGCAAACTGAGATCCAAAGACAAATAGCCTTCGTGCAACCTTCCCAACAGTGCCATGAGAGCTAGATAGCGCACGGAATGTAAACTCCAAAGTAGTGAGGAGACGATTGTAGTTCTCCAATTTGTAGCCTGACTCCCCCAGGCCAAGTGGAACATAACGGAGGTAGAACTGATCAGGAAAATCCCTCATTAACCGATCCAAGACCGAGAGACGACCAAGGATCCACTGCCATGAAACACTGAGCAGACTGTAGTCCTGGAGGATGCATTGAAGGAGGAACTCCATTCCCCCAGCTCCACTTGCAGTACGAAACTGGGAACCTGGGACTGCTGAACCAACTGCTAGCTCCCCATGTTGCCCCTTTGCAAACTCCACCAATGTTTCGATGCTCAACTGACTCATCCGCTGGTTTCCATCAGTACATTTGAGCAAAATATTCTGGAGGACAGGCTGTAAGAGTGCCTGGAGTGTCCCTGGTTCAGCATCTGGTGGCCAAGGCAAGTTTGCCAAGAGAGATCGAAGGCAGCGCTGCAGGGGAAACAAAGCCATTATAACAGCAGGTAGGACATCGTGAATTAATTTTGCTTTGGTCTGAAATAAGTCAGCATTTAGTTTTAATTTTTTGCCCAAAAAGCCATGATGCCTCATTGGAAACAGGCTTCAGTTGATGGGACTGCTAACTAGTACAATACTAATGAACATGAGAAAGAATGTATGCCAGCATCATACTGAAGCTTGTATCAAAATAATTGAGGAATGTGAATAGGCCATACTTCTAGTATTAAAAAAACTTATTGGGGTGGAGCACAGAGTATATAAAGGTTACTGTTTTCTTTCCTAGAAGTATATATTTTACCTTGGTATCATACAAGGAACACTTTAAATATTTAAGATCATATAAGGGTCTTTTCAAATATTAAAGACCCCCTACTTCCAATGCCATATAAATAAAAATTCACTTCTGCATTAGGAGTGGAAGATGTAGGCAAAATCATCACAGATATTAGATCACCTTTCAACACAGATTAATCACAACCATTTGTTATCCATACAGATGATATAACACAAAACCAGTCTTGTGATGACAACAGCAGACTCAAAAACTTAATGGAGTGCAAGAGTATCCCAGGACATCCAAAGTAATCACATGAAAATATATATATACTCACCACACATGCAAGGTAGACTTTGTACACAGGATCTGACACCATGAGAGCAAGAATGCTGGCACAGGCATGGACTGCCTGAGACATCCGCTGTTCTGCATCTGCTCCAACGTCATAAGAGAGCACCTGCACGACATCATGCATAAGGCGGCGCAGTGCCATCTCCCTCAGCACCCAGTCTTTGGCAAACAGGCATGACACCACATCAGTTCCAAACACTTTGGCCCATTGACTTGCACTGGTCTTGTGTTCCAAAGGAATGACCACATTCCCACCACTACTACAGCTAAGATTCTCAGTAGAAAGGGATCCCCTAGAGCGATGGGGACTTGCACGCCTGAAATTCCTTTCAAGGGCTTGAGTGACAGGGGATGCAGTTCCATGTCTCCCCCGGGCCACAGGTGCCTTGCTGCTGCGTCTCCAGCAGTCACTAGAGCTTGGACTTGCACACTGGGAGCTCTGCTTCTCTTTCAGATCTCGTGAAAGTTCCCCTTGATACTTAACAGGAGCTTGTGATGTGTGATTGAGGGTGTCTCCCCATGGTGTACGGCACAGGGGACATAAAATCTTCTCTCCTTGCCGACAGCACTCCTCGGCCCCTGATCATAAATTCCCAAGATCATGTGAGCAAAATAAATGCATGCAAAAAAATGAATATTTCTGAATGAAAACTCACATATGGCAATGCAGTGATGATGGAGTCGATTATGACATCCAGTGGTGCATGCAACCAGTCCTTCTCCATCTGTCATTTCCAGGAGGCATATGGGACAGATCTCTTCTTCATCATCACCAACCAACCTATATAGATCAATGGTTTTGAAAGCCAAATTAACCTGGAAAAACCATGCTATACTTAACCTATATGCAATCTAATATTTCAGGACTACCTGTTGGCTGCTGAGGAAGACACAGATTCTTCATGGATGACATTATTTTCCTGAGTTCTGTCTTCTTTGGCTGCACCACAAAAACTAGATGCATCTGGCGCACACTTGGATTTCACTTTACAGCTGCGTCTCTCATCATAGGCAGTGAACAATGACTCCACCTAAAATGAGTCAGCCAGATGATCAGATATCATACTAAAGGTCAGATAGATGTCAAGAAACTCCTACAGGAAAATCTGGTGAACGAACCTCAAAGTTTTTCAGTTCCTTGGAGAACAATCGAGGGTCAGAGTCTGGTAGCTGTAAGACACGTAACATGACAAACAAGATGTGGATGCAATATGGTCCATGTCCACAGCTGCACATCTATATTGGAGAAAAATTCCATCATGATGTAATATGCTATCTCCATCTCATATGGATTATATAAACACAGTCATGGTGGATCAGAGTTGCAATACCTGAGGTCCAATGACCACTTTGTACTTATGTTCAGGAAGATCCCCTCCAATAAGGAAGGAGTGAGGACCTGTACGCTGGAGAAGATAAAATCGAGCCCTTTGTGCCCGTCGGATACGACGACCTATCAACTCCTGATGGGCAGGATCCAGGGCCACAGGGGATGGCAAACGACGGTGACTCGGACTGCTTGGGCGCTATAAATGTCATCCAAATGAAACATCATGAAGTCTAAAATGTGAAAAATGAATTGCATTCTGCTTTCTTAATATGAAAATTCTCTGCTAAGTATAGTCTTAAGATTGTCAAATCCATAAAGTCAGTTACATACAGAATTGAAAAGTTAAAGCTGTTCTCATGACTACAATACTAATATCTATATTGGGACAAAGGATTGGATGTTGGCCAGTTGAAATGGTCAATTAGCACACAAGATTGGTCTTATGGCCATATATAACCAAAAATGACTGTGTTGAGCAGTCAAAATCTCATTCCAAACTGGGTGGTAAAAAATTCTGCCAATACACCTTAACCGTGGTGTTTCCCTGCCAATTTTTCATAGCATTCTCCCTGTCAAGCCTTAACAAGCAAGCATTTAGTACTGGTACAACATGGTATGCTAAGTTTTACATAGCCACTGCAGGCTTGGATACAAAGATCAGCTCTTGCTTCTCTCTGATTAGAACTGGAATTCATAATGTGAAACTGTATCCTCAACCCACTCACAGAGAACTATACAGTACCTGTAATCAACTTCCAACAGGCAAAGGAAAAACTTTTTGATTGGTATGAAGGCCACACTGGCTTTCTGGTTTTAGGTATCATCAACATTAACATGAATTTGAGGGATGCTTCCACATCCACAAGATGAAATTTCAAGGCAGGCCTACATGCTGATGGCCTTTAGTTATTGCAGAAAATAATAGATTTGGTGAGTTCATAACACACCAATATTGAGAGGGAAAATAGAAACTTACAGAAGGAAGTCCCCTGGGAAAGCTAGGTGACCTCCTCCTTGGTTGAAGAAGAGAGGAAGAGGATGAAGTAGGATTCTGGCACCCAGGACTACGCCAAGGTGGTCGTTCGGATAATGTCGGGGATGGGGTTCGACATGGCCTAGGTGGCCGCAGGTTCCCCTTGCCTCCTGAGCCCTGCTGTGGAAAGCAATCTCACTCATCTATTATGTTCAGTATGAAAACCAAAAGTCAAAAGTTTAGAAACTAAAAACGAAAATCACTTCCAAGAGACATCCTTATTGTGAAACTGAGTTTCAATTAACAGACAGAATTTGGGAATTCAGGAGGGATGAGAAACTTGCAGTCATTCAGAGACATTGGAGAAGATGATCATTAGGCAAACTAAAATTTAATCTTATTTCCAACAAAATAGTTCAAATCCTCAGTTCAGGAAGGGTACTATGATGAGGGTACTATGAGATTCCTATCTCAATAGGAATAACAATGCATAACAAAATTTGAACTTTTAATTATTACCAAATCAAACGTGAATGTTATTCTGCCTTCTACCAGAAGCAGAAAGAGGGTTCAGAAACACTTCTCAAAAGCAATCATCCAATAACCCAATTATGAATTCAGGATTATCAAAACATATTGTATACTTATGCTGCCTCATGCTTACAGGGGGAAAGGAATTTTGATTTTTGTACAATCACTGACAAAAACTTCTGCATGCCAGCACAGATATTTATGAATAAGGACAGATAAGTCCATGACATACTTCAAGGCCTGTCAAGCAAAACTTAAAGGTTTTATTCAATCATCTCCCATCATGCTTTCTTTAAACCAATCAAAAGAAAGATATGCCTATGCATTTTAAGTGGAGCCAAACAATTTACCAAACAGATGACAAATGCTACAGAGTGAGAAGACGATGGATGCTTTAACCAAAAAACGTTTAAAAATGTTTGACTCAATATGGTAGGCATACATTTACTCAAGGCTATAGGGGGAGATACACATTTAAAAGAAATCTTTTCTATTGATGAATTTTCAAATGATCTTGACTGCAGATGCAATTGTAAGGAGGGGCACTACTGGTACTTCATTTCCATATCTTCCAGTTCTAATTAAATCTTACATTTCATCTCAACATATATCACAATATATTGCATGTTTAAGGCAATCACTGTTGGAAATCCACTCAGCCTATGAGGTCTCAAATAAAATAAGCTTTTCACTTCTGTGCATTTTTATGTATTCTGAAGCACTCTATCAGCTGAATAGCAAATATTAAAGTGTGAAACAAAAAGCACCGGTGAAGGGACTCTCCAAGGGGAGAAAAAAAAAAAGGGGGGGGGGGGGGGGGGGGGGGAATCAGACTAAAGTCTGCCCAGATGTGACTGGATCTGGTCAGGCTTTAAAGACTCTCGTCGATGCTTGGATGTTTCGCGAAGGAAAGACCCGAAGGTTGCCCCTGCTTGTTCTTCAGAGTCGCATTTTCAAGGTCACCGTACAGTTTCCCACCGTAAGTGGGCACTCATCCGAAATCGGTCTCGGCACGTCGATTCTAACATCTCTTTCTCATAAACCTTTCTTCCTTTTTACTTTCTCCTCCGGCTTCTCCTAGTGAATATCATTACGTTCGTATTTTTCTCTTTCACCTGCACTTCCCAATCCTCAAAATACGTCTCCAACCCCCACTCGCAACGCCTACGATGCCCTTCGTATTTCGATAATACGGCGATCGCTTGAATGAGACGTCGGTGAGAGCCTTCGAGCTCGCGGGTCTCGGGCCGTCCGTGCTGCTCCGACACGCGCGCTTTAAGCACGCCGCCGTGAAGTCGGAGAGGCCGTCGGCAGATGGGTCTGGCGACTCGAGGGTCGGAGACGAGCTTCGTTCCGTGCGAATCCTCTTCCTCATTCCATGCGAACAGACAATGCGCTACGAGTTGACGTCGAGTGATGAATTGCCAGCAGTCAGGCGGAACCATCTTTAGATCTTGCATGCTTTATACCGCGGAGCGGAAGGATCGTCGTGAGGCCTCCAGGCTGCGAATAAACTTTTCAGATACCGATGACAACGAAAGTACCTTTTACGACTGTGCACAATGCACTTTCCGTACGGGTCAAAAGAATTTCGTAAGCCTCCAATTAGCTCTTCGAGCGAGAAGAATAAGACGGGATAATCTAAGTATCGCTACCGGAAATAAGCCGTGTGATGGAACATGAAACCGGTTGGAGAAAGGTAGATCGACGCTACTCCGAAGCAAACCGTTAGTTTAGGCAAGAGCTTATGGCTTCCAGTTACTAATACGTGTTACGATACGGACTAAAGCAATGACGTAACCGAATCTCGAGGACAGGCAAGCAGGCAAGCAAGCAAGTCCAGTCTTTCTTCTTCCCGCGTATATATTTTTTCCGTTTCGGCTTGGACACTCGTCTAGGAAGCGTTGAGCCATCTGGATCAAGCCGCGGATCCTCTGGAACGAGTGCTGTCTCCCATCTTCAACTACCCAAAGGGGAGGGGGGGCGGGGGCGGGGGCGGGGGAGAACGAATTCAATCGAGCGTATTGCTCGAAGTGAAGGCCCACTCGTGGCAATTTTCAAGGACGTGGTGTTACGTTACCGAGGGTCTCGCTAGCCGCGTGACCGACTGGGAACAAGTACAGGTACGCGATCCACGGTCGGGAACATGGGTTAACAGCGCGATGGGAGCTCCACGATGGTTCGCTCGCGATGTTCCCACGGAGCATGGGCATCCGCCAAATCGGTCGGAAAGTGAAGATACGAGGCCGGACGACGTGACTGCTGGACCAGTCCCGCAATGCGGTGCGCAGTGTCATACATAACACGATGGTAGACTCGTGCACTTGCTGTGGAACCTTACCCAGCGGGGTTGGGTTAGGGTCATCCATGCCCGGGGGGGGGGAAGATCAACAGGCAAAGCGATGCCCATGTTCTGCACGTCCACAGAATATGTGGATTGCGATGATTCCATGGCAATGGATTCCACCGACTTTCGGTGAATGCCGAAAAACGCTCACATAGATGCTATTTCGTGTTCAGCGCGACAAACTACAGCTTTACTCACCCTGGAGTGCCTCTGCCTTGCAGAAAAGCGAATCACGCCATTTCCATCGGACCGGCCAAATAACTTAGGCCTCATTCGATACCGAGCGAGTGATTTATCCATGGGAATGGAAGGAGATCGGAGGATGGAAAATTGTCGCTTACGGAAGAGATCCTTGGAAAAGAATAGCGGAACCAGCGAAGGGAAGCGGAACCAGCGTCTTTGCGGATCGCGTGGAATTGCGCCACGTCTATCGTTCCCGTTGCTAAATTCCCCGCGATGAAATTTTCTTCTCGATCGCAATCGGCTGTATCGTGTCAGAAAAACTCCACCGATACGGTGCGCCAGATATCAAGGTCGATCGTTCGGGAACCATCGACGGACGAGGACTTCTTCGAACGAGCACGAAATGCTCGTTCCACCGGTGCCCGTGCCTTTGATGCTCCGTTCGCAGCCACATGGATTTATTCCTCATCCCATCTCAAAAGACATTCTTAAAACTATCTGCGGATAAATTTGCTAAACATGTAAAACAATTTTACATGTACATGCATGCGGCATAATTGTCGCATGACTTTGGGAATCACTTTCAAAGTTAGATGTTAATCTGGGCCCAGAGAGTTGAGGATATCTAAAACTGGAGGCAGACCAAAATGCAGGGAGCAGAATCATCATGCGAATTGCATTAATGCACATTAAACGCGTTCGTGCGTGTCGGTCGCAGAAGGCTCGAAATATGCAGTTGTCTGGCTTCTTCCATATTCTTATGCCAATTTCGCACTTTTCAGAACCATTAAGTCTGGAGAGTCACAACGAGAATCGGATTTTCCATATTGTAGACAGTCCCTGAAAGTAATCATGCTGCTGTAGTATTTTTATTTTTATTTTCCGAACTCATCATTGCTGATTTTCTGAGTGCTGAGATAAAACATTGAAAACTAAGAGGTGAGTCCAAGAAAATATCTTTAACCTTCGCCGATGACAAAATAGGATAATGCCTAATAGGAATCGTATTTTTAATACTTGAGAGCCTGAAATTGACCTTCCCCAAAGTGACGAGAGCCAACGGTATCCCATTCATCGAAATCGCCTGTGCATCCTTCGAGGTCGGTCGCCAGAACAACGAGATCTCCAAGCTCGTGCTTCCGAATCTCCGGGAAAAGCACCACGATGACGGATGAAATCTCGTCGACTTCGGAGAGCTTGACGAGTGGCGGAAGTGCGAGGTGTTGGGATTCCACATGTGAGAGTGAAGGGAAGTCACGGGGATAGAAAGGAGATTGCCCAGAGCTTTTACGCTCAGTCGAGTGAGTTAGTGACATCATGCTTCACCTGACTGCATCCTCCGTGCACGATTGGACAAGTCCAATAAACCTTATATAATCCCCTCAAACTCGTGTCAAACGAGTGCAAAGAGACACACACTCCATGTTTTGGGCCAACTCCCCTGTATCGAAAAGGACCAAACCGTACTGGAATAGTTCGGCACTGCCGTTCCTCGTTACGGACATCCCCATAGGGAATGGAGAGCACTTTTCCATGGTTCGATCATGCCGGAAATATTATCGTTAGAAAACCAGAACGGCCATTACGGTGAGGACGATTTTTGTCGTTAGAAAACCAGAACGACCATTACGGTGAGGACGATTTTATTGCAGGTCTAGAGTTTCTCTAACATGAAATTCCTCACTCGGAATTTCCCTTCGTAAGAAATTGACATCCCATCGATCCAATCCCTCGTGTTACTTTTTAATCTGCTAAAAGTTTCGCCAAAGCTCTGTTACTTATGTCGACCGATGCAAACTCTCTTCATCGTTGATCTTCTCGAGACAGTTCAAATTTCTGCTTCCAGCCCTCGAGTTGCAGAAGATTCACGGTCGGTCGGTTGACACCACGGTTGGTGCTGCACGGACTGGAAGTTTCGCTGCAGGATGTGAGGAATTGTTGGCCCAAAAACGATTCTAGCGGACTCGGACACTGAGAATATACTTGCGTTCGGAACTTTGGTTTCCCCCACGAAAAGCTTTGTCCGCTTTATTCGGAGATCGATTCCGACGCATCATCGGCGGAATGGAGGCGAGAAACAAAGATGCAATTCTTATATTAGTCGGTGTTCGAGCCTGTTCGAGTCTGAACGCTTTACAAGCATCCGGGACAATTACAGGGACAATCATACGAATGGGTGTGATGCCGGTGTTCTTGCCGGCAGATTTTCGCTATTCCCTTTCGATTACCAGCAAAAAGAACCTTATATGCATCGTTTGTTTCAAATCTGCATTGTAAAAAGTATCCGGCGAGAAATGGCCAGGTTTAATCCAGGAATCTTACTTCCATGGCTTCCTAGGAATTTCCATTCTTTCCACTGTAATTTCCACAGCGGAAGAAAGAAATTCCATTCCCATATAGGTACTTGATAGGGAGAGACCGGTCTTTCTGACCGTAACTTGACAGTGGAAAGAAAATAAATTACAAGGCAGTCGCGGAAGCAAGACTTTCAGTTAAAAACCCGGCCCATTTCTTGCCAGATTTCTTTTTACGGTGACACTTACCTCCACCTATGAAAATAATGTCAAGGTTCAGCTAAATATATTATAGCAAGACAGACTTGGAACGAGATGCTGCATAGTTGAAAAAAGGAATCTATGTACGCTTTGAGTACTTGGATACGATATCAGAGGATTGAGGTGAAGAACTGAGGTTTCTTCGTCGCGTTTATGCCTTGATGCGCGAGGCGGCTCGTCTTCATCAATGCACAATGGGATACAATTAATGAAAGCCTGGACGTAATTATCCAGAGATAACTATGAGAGAATCTGTGATTTCCTGTGGTGTCGGTTGCCTTTTATGCAAATTCGACCAGAATTAAATTGACTCGGTTTGATCCTCGTAGCTACTCCTGGAGGAAGCTGTCCGGGTTTCTCCTTCGTCCTTCATCACCGGGGTTCTCCTTTCATCCAACAGGTACCAGGAGGAGTGCACGTGCTCAGGGTCTCCCTTGAAAATATATATAAAAAAATAAAGAAAAATTCGAAAAGAGCACACGCACCTGGTTGTTCACGGTTGGGTTGGGATTATTTTACTGAAGGTTTTCGTTTCCCGTGAATCATCCCATTATTGGCGGTTATTCACGATGCTCGACTCTTCCGTTTTCATGTCCCCTTTTTTTTGTCGCTTGTTTTTACTTGCCTCTCATTTTTCTTAAATTGTGTCATTCCCCTGAACGAACGAATGAATGTGGGTAATGCGATTCGGAAAAGACCATTTTTCTTTGAGATCGTGAAGAAACACCTCCATACCATCTATATCATACATGTGGTCATGAACTGCGAGGATTACGACAGTGTTGCACTGAAGTTGGGACCTCATTACCCGATGCATGATTGCTCAAGAAAAACCGCCTTCCTAATTATCATCTGCGAAATCGATTTACAATTGTGCTATTGTGCATTTGTGCAATAGTCGAGGCACTGGGAATTCGAACAGTGGAGGGAGAACAAAAGAAAAGAAAAAGAAGTAATCTAAATTGTTCATTTGCGCTTGCAGGCCACCGTCGGCGATTAGTTCCTCATACCAAGGATGTCGATCTTTATCCACATCTGACATTTTGAGTCACAGGGTCTTTCAAAAGTGACTTCCGCTGTTCAGACGACTGTTCCCAGGAAACCGATGGACAGAAGGTTGCGAAACTTGGTGTGTAGTCCATTATGACCATGCGGAAGACAACGTACATAGTCATGTGGTGCATTATGATGTGGTCAAACTATAGGGTGTCAAAATGCCATAGACCCCCCAATCCATTGTACTGTCCAAACAATGATCGAAAGATAAAATATGATTTTAGGATTTGAAAG